TAAATAAGAGATTTTTTTAAAATTTATATAAGTGAAGGGTTAAAAATATAATAATATAAGATAATTGATTAAAAATATAATAATATAAAATATTAGATTAAATCCGACAGAAGCAATGAGCTAAAAAGTAGTTTTTGACTATTTTTGGTGTCGTGCCAGAGACCCGAGGCGCACGTTTTGGTGGAAGATCGTCGTGTCCACTTAAGCATTTAATGATCATTTTTTAAATAAAAATAAAAAATTTTATCTAATAAATTTTATCTTTTAAGCCATACAATATATTAATAAAGTAAATTAAAAATAAAAAATAATTATTTTTATTGTATAATTTAAAATAAAAAATTATATAAAGCCATACAATATATTAATAAAGTAAATTAAAAATAAAAAATAATTATTTTTATTGTACAATTTAAAATAAAAAATTATATATAATCTTTAAATTCAGTACATGTTAAAACAATAAATAAAAAAGACATAATTTTACAGCTGTATTTTCGCAAAGAATCCAAGGCTGATGTCTTTATATATAATACATATATTAATGGGCAAACCCTAATAGGAGAGACGCATAGATATTTTCAAGTCTTCAACACAGAAAGACGAGCAGAGCCGAGCGCAGAAAGCATCTCATGTAAGTTCTTCCTCCCAAGATATGTGCCGAAGTGCCCTTTCTAATACGCCATCCCTTCACCTGCTACACAGCGTCTTAATTCCTTACAGCTCGATTGATCGCACCAACTGTTAGTTTTTTGGATGATGTGGTCTAGCTAGCTGTGTTGCGGGTGAAAGGGATGTGGTATGAAAGGCCAGGGCCTTTCGGCACATGATTTGTGGAGAGAGAGCTAGCCTTGATACTATCCTAACTAGGTTGGCTTAGATGCAATTTCATTTTATTATTTTCTTTATATAGTTTTTTTCTTCTTTATTTTTTCAGTTTCTTTTCTGTTAGATTCCTGCCTTTTCAGTTGCACTAGACAATTTTACTTCAAGATCTGTTTTCTTGAAATATATTTTTCATCTTCATCCAATCTTCTATGTTTGGTTTTTTTCTTCTTTTTTTTTTAATTGGAAAAAAAGTGGGTCAAGTCCTGCCTTTAAATTTGATCTAATTTTCTCAGATCTAACATAGATTCTGTGCACTTTTATGTTCTTTTTTAACCTGGTAGAAAAGTTAGTATATTCACCTAATACAAGTTTAAAGTTTAAATTTCTGACCTTTTTGAATATTCAATTAAGGGATGAATAAAGTGACTGAGGGCATAAATTTTATGCTCGATGATCAGGTTGTGGCTTCAACATGGTCTAATTTTCCATTGCTTACCTGTTTTGTTTTTATTTAACAGATCAATAGCCTACCTGTTTTTGGTTTAGACGGTCATGGTGATAGTCGGCTGGTCTGTTTGTGTAGGGGAAAGCACTCGGCAATTAATGCTGTGGTTGTGAATTAAAGTGGGTGTAGTAGGACATCA